ACTCGGTAATGATCCTTCCGCAGGTTCACCTACGGAAACCTTGTTACGACTTTTACTTCCTCTAAATGACCGGGTTTGACCAACTTTCCGGCTCTGGGGGGTCGTTGCCAACCCTCCTGAGCCAGTCCGAAGGCCTCACCGAGCCATTCAATCGGTAGTAGCGACGGGCGGTGTGTACAAAGGGCAGGGACGTAATCGGCACGAGCTGATGACTCGTGCCTACTAGGCATTCCTCGTTGAAGAGCAATAATTGCAATGCTCTATCCCCAGCACGACAGGGTTTAACAAGATTACCCAGACCTCTCGGCCAAGGTGATGTACTCGCTGGCCCTGTCAGTGTAGCGCGCGTGCGGCCCAGAACATCTAAGGGCATCACAGACCTGTTATTGCCGCGCACTTCCATCGGCTTGAGCCGATAGTCCCCCTAAGAAGCCAGCGGCCCGCAAATGCGGACCGGGCTATTTAAGGGCCGAGGTCTCGTTCGTTATCGCAATTAAGCAGACAAATCACTCCACCAACTAAGAACGGCCATGCACCACCATCCAAAAGATCAAGAAAGAGCTCTCAATCTGTCAATCCTTATTTTGTCTGGACCTGGTGAGTTTCCCCGTGTTGAGTCAAATTAAGCCGCAGGCTCCACGCCTGGTGGTGCCCTTCCGTCAATTTCTTTAAGCCACTTGCCCCTGCATCAAGTGTTCTAGATCTTTGAAAAAAAAAAAAAAGAGTTGTTTAGATAGAGTTATCGGAGGACCCACCCACGCGGGCCTCCTAGATAACCGGGTGATCGCTGATAACTTTAGTATTGACCCACTGCTCGGGTGGACGTTCATCCGCCACCGCCATTAGTCCTGTTTTGGATATCTCCGGTTTGCTGTTGTTGTCTTCACATACCCCTTTTCGCCCTCACCTTGTACAGGCAGTGATGTAGGGCTACTCGGCCCGTGCGCAACTGGATCAGTGCGGAGCTCTTGGGCTCGCTGACGCTCTTGTAGAGCTTAAGAGATGTCTTGCTTGATCCGGGAATACGGTTGCTATTTCCAATGCTTCTTCTACAGTTTCTTGGCTAGTTAGCGCCCGGTTCTCTTTACCCCCAATGTCAGCGCAGTCAGCCTGCTCCTCTGTGTCTTGGTCGCCGCCGTCTTTCTAGTGGTTTTGTCTCCTAGCTCATTTCCCCGGACCCCCTTCGTGGCCAGGGATGAATTTGAGTAGACTTGTATGCCTCCTTTGCGTACCTCCTCAGTCTCCCGAGTGTGAGACCTCGGCCTACCTTGCCTCACCACGTGGCCCCTCCGCAGAGGTCAGGCGCGGCCTGAGCAAGTGTGAGAGCCGATCAAATATGTCTTATTTGGTGCATCTAGACTAGAATATCGAACATGAGGAGGGAAAGAAGGAAATGTGGGGGAACGCGTGTAAACAACAAAGGTAAGCGAACGAAGCGAAACAAACAAAGCAAACAGAACTACGCCATGTGATCCAGTCACGTGCCTCCGAACGCCGCTCGCCATCACATTGCAGGACCTCTCTCACAGAGTATTTTGACAATTCCTTCATACCCCAATGCTGAAGCCAGTATCAGTGGTGTCTGACCTTCCTTATTTCTAGTTCTAATTGTAGCACCTCTCTCAAGAAGCATCTTGACAATTCCTTCATGCCCCAATGCTGAAGCCAGTATCAGTGGTGTCTGACCTTTCTTATCCTTAGTTTCAACTGTAGCACCTCTCTCAAGAAGCATCTTGACAATTCCTTCATGCCCCCTTGCTGAAGCCAGTATCAGTGGTGTCTGACCTTTCTTATCCTTAGTTTCAACTGTAGCACCTCTCTCAAGAAGCATCTTGACAATTCCTTCATGCCCCCTTGCTGAAGCCAGTATCAGTGGTGTTTGACCTTCCTTATCCTTAGTTTCAACTGTAGCACCTTTTTCAAGAAGCATCTTAATAATTCCTTCATGCCCTGATGCTGAAGCCAGTATCAGTGGTGTCTGACCTTTCTTATCCTTAGTTTCAACTGTAGCACCTCTCTCAAGAAGCATCTTGATAATTTCTTCATTTCCCCTTGCTGAAGCCAATATCAGTGGTGTCTGATCTTCCTTATTCTTAGTTTCAATTGTAGCACCTCTGTTGAGAAGCATCTTGACAATTCCTTCATGCCCCCTTGTTGAAGCCAGTATCAGTGGTGTCTGATCTTCCTTATTCTTAGTTTCAATTGTAGCGCCTCTTTCAAGAAGCATCCTGACAATTCCTTCATATCCTTTCTCTGCCGCCAGTGATAATGGTGTCCAACCATTCCCAGTCTGAGACTCAGTGGCAGCGCCTNCTTTCAAGAAGCATCTTGACAATTTCTTCATATCCTTTCTCTGCAGCCAGTAATAGTGGTATCCGACTGCCTGAATCCTGAGTCTCAGTTGCAGCACCGTTCTCAAGAAGCATCCTGATGATTCCTTCATGTCTATTAACTGTAGCCAGTAGCAGTGGTGTCTGACGTTTCCCATCATATATTTCAGTAGCAGCGCCTTTCTCAAGAAGCATCTTGACAATTCCTTCATATCCTTTCTCTGCAGCCAGTAATAGAGGTGTCCGACTTTTCCAATCATGAATCTCAGTGGAAGCATCTTTCTCAAGAAGTATCTTGACAATTCCTTCATGCCCATTCTCTGCAGCCAATGATAATGGCGTCCGACCGTCCCGATTCTCAGTCTCAGTTGCAGCGCCTCTGTCGAGAAGCATTTTGACAATTCCTTTATGCCCATTCTCTGCAGCCAGTGATAGTGGTGTTCGACTGCCTGATTTCTGAATTTCAGTAGCAGCACCTTTCTCTAGAAGTATATTGACAATTCCTTCATGCCCCTTTGCTGAAGCTATTGATAGTGGTGTCCGACCATCCCGATTCTTAGTTTCAGTTGCAGCACCTCTCTCCAGAAGCATCTTGATGATTCCTTCATGCCCTTTCTCTGCAGCCATTAATAGTGGTGTCCAACTGCCTAAATTCTCATTTTCAGTGGCTGCGCCTTTCTCAAGAAGTATCTTGACGATTCCTTCATGCCCATTCTCTGCAGCCAGTGATAGTGGTGTCCGATTGCCCGAATCCTGAGCCTCAGTTGCGGCGCCTTTCTCAAGAAGCATCTTGACAATTTTTTCATGTCCATTCTTTGCAGCCAGTAGTAGTGGTGTTCGACTGTTCTGATCGGTCATGTCTATCTTGACGTCACTTTGAGTCAAAAGCAGCCATACACCATCCACGTCTCCTGTTCTTGCGTCCGTTAACAATGCTGCTGGTTGTCTGGGTTGCTCTGGTGGTCTTAGCTCGTCAACGAGATAAACCTGTTCTTGAGAGATACAGGCTTGTTCTACGGTGATTCGCTTTTGTATGAGCATCTTGCGTCCGCCTTGGACAACAAGCCTTCTCACAGGATATTGGGCTGGTCGGAAGGTTCTGGGGTCGATTTCTTTAAGATATCTGCTCTGAACCCTCTTGAACAGATTCATACTTAAAGACAGGTCTCGTAGGTATATGGCAATTAAATTATCTTGCCGTGTTTTTCTAGCACAGGAAAGAATTGCGAGACCTAGGCCTCCGCCTCCGATTCCTCTGAAGCCGAGATCTAACTGAACTCCTCTGCTACTAACAGTGAAAGGGTTGTCAAGAGTGCCAAACGGATTGGATCTAACAATGTCGTAGGAATGGGCGAACGCGTCAGGGGAAGTGGCAAGAAGCCCGCCGCGATCATCAGAAGATCCCCACGCGAAAAGACTCTGATCGTCTGAGATCCGCATGATTTCCTCCTGAAGTCTGATAAAGGCATTCTCACCTTCCCCATATATCAATGGCATATTGACGCTAAAAATTCCCATTAGGGAATAAGCACGGTCTTCCACTCTTGACGTCTGTCTTTTCGCAGCCCACGACATTCTCTGCGCGACGCTAGACGTTTCAAGATCTTCTTCTCCCGACAAGATGCTGGGAGGAATGCCAGTGTATTCAGCAATTTTGTCCTGGAGATGTGCTTTATCTCCTAGCATTCTCCATTCCTCATTCAGGAATACCACCCTTGATGGTGCGATCAGCTCTTGAAGTGTCCAGCCTCTGGTAAGCCATTTACTCTTGGCAATTTCGCCTTCAGATCGTATGTCCGCAAGATATGCGTAGCATATCTCAGCCTTTTGGTACCATTGATACATGGAGTTGATTGCCTCGGACAACTCCGCACTGCTTGTCTTATCGATGCAACAGGTATCTATCCAGACGTACTCGTACCCACTCGCCCTAGCTACTGAGCAGCATTGTGTGATTTTGTCATATCCGCTCTTTTTCTTCGCACCGGCCGCGTTGATCTCCTGATAAGTAACTTCCTCTTTACTCCAGGTATGTGACAAAATAGCGTAGGGCGGTAACTCATAATCCGTGAACTCTTGGATTGCGAATTTCCCCCTGTCAGACACTTGCGTATTGAGCAAACGCATAGTTCAAGTCGGCCCAAATACCTCCTGCCCTAAATGTGGATATTGTAACGATGCTTGTAATAGGAAAGGTGTTGTATAACTTCCTGAGGATGAAGAGTAAAGGAGAAAAAATCAATGCGCAAAGGCTGCAAAGGACGGCTTCAGTACGCGCATGGCAGAGGAAGTCTCACCGGTTAAAGTCCGCCAGCAGTTATTTTGGCGATGGCCTAAGTGGTGCGGCTGAAGGACAAGGATGCAGCTTGCATTTAGGCAGCCACGGCCATATTCGCCATCTGATTGGACGATAGGAATTTTCGAACTATCTATCTTTGCAGCAATCCGCATCCCACTCCTTTTGTCCTTGGCAACACAACAATAGAAGAAGGTAGTTTCAAAAAGGTGGACCGGTGAAGTTAGCGCCAAAATCATATAAATCTGGCAAGCTCCCTGTTCAGGGACTGTAAGAGTTATTAGAATGACTAGAGGAAAGTTGGCTGTGCGGGGCCAAGATCTTTTGGACCCAACTTCGGCCCAAGCAAGGTCTGCACTCGTACAGGATAATCGTCGAAAGTTATTGGTGGAGTATTATCACGTGGCAAATGTGACACATTATATAACCACGTGCTCCTGGAACGCACTGGAACCGTCCCGGCCCGGTCGCACCGTGACTGAGTTACATGCAAACTAAACAAGCAGGAACATATCCATGGCACGCAGACGACGCCTCTCCTGCCTCTTCACCATCGTACCTTACAAGGGCCATTGACAGACGAACGGCTTGTTTACTGCAGTGTATATTGCTCGGCTTATTATCATTTTAGCTTGTCAGCAGACATCCTTGGTTCTTTGATTAGACATGTAAAGGACCACTCTAGCCAGCTAACCGTTCATCGTTACCAAGATTAGGCTCTTCGGCGGGATATGTTGCCTTGCTGACATGGCATTTAGCCTGATGAATGAAACCGCCTCTTCAGCGCGTTAGCTTGTTCCAGGCGAACGCACTCCGTACTCCCACTCCTGGAATCTTTAGCCGCGCTGGCACGCCGTCCGGGTACAACCTGTTCTCTAGTCGTGGACGTCGAAGCTTCACGCCCTTGCGCCATTCGCCGCTTCAAGAGTATATCCGAGACACGGAGTGGGATACTGCAGGAATAGATGACGACGAACAATATTTAATGGTCCGATATGCGATTAAATGGAGAGTACCTCTCAACAACCGCATGGTAGCGAAGGATACGGAACAAGATCTGGGTTTGGATCCCAACTCCTACTGATCAGGAAAAAAGCAGAAAGCGGAAGATCTACTACGTCGGAAGACAGCTCGTAACCGACGGGTGAGACTAGACGACACTGCAGTAGTGGTCTCTGTAAATTATCGCTCACAGCGCGATCTCGTCAAGCGCTTTGAGAAAACTGATGTTGACTGGACAACTATCCAAAAGCAGCTCACGATGTGGGAAACCTATTTCAGCAAGGTAAAAGGCTTAGGCTCTGTATCTCGATTGATTATCTAAGTTCCGACCAGCCTTCGAATGGCGCTGACAAAAGAGGGCAAACCTCAGTGACCAGAAGAATACTCCATGTACGATACGCCGAGATTGACGCGGAACAGGTTTCCGGGCAGCCCTCGACTTGGCGGGATATGTACAGAGTAATGCGCTGTCCTGGCTCTCTGTGCCGCCTCGAATCGCAATATTACTGGAATAATCCAGTCGGGAAAAAGCATTATAGATTGCGCACACATTATTTAAGGAAGCTGGTTAGGTATGTGGAGCAGAAGGGGGGTGTCATTGAATGCCACGATGATGTGCCCGACAACATCCGTGAGCAATTATATGCCGAGGAGCAGCAGCGGCTGGAACAACGACAGATGGTCCCTGGGCATCCTGCAAGTGGATCCCATTTCCAATCAATATCAACGTCCTCCCCACGCCACCGCCTCGGTCGACGGCTATATCCCCACCAGCTGCTGCGGAACCACCGGCACTGAATTCCTCACCGCTTAGTAGTTCTATCAATGTCCCCGGTCCGTTGGAAGTAGCAGTAGAGAACTACGCTGCATGGCAACTCTCGCGAGTGAATACTGAAAGTTTCAAAGACAATATTATAAAGGCACGTGATATAGCCTTGAACAACTGCCTTGACCTGAAGCAGATTTACCAAGATCAAGATCCTGGCTTTTTTATCAACCAAGGCGTGAAACTGGGGGCTGCACGCCGGTTTGTCACTGAAATCAATGAATGGGTGCAGGAGATGCAATCGTGATGGCAAAGCTGTAACATGTAAAATATACTTTTTGTTATGACTCGTGTAGCCGGCTAAGTATCTAATATACTACAATAGCCATATCTAGTAAGACGCCTAGTCAACAATGCTGTACGAATCTCTCGCCAAGTAGCCTACTGCACCTTAGAACGTCTCATATGGATACTCAATAGTCAGCCCTGCATGCCGAAAATGACCCTCGGCACTTTGCTGCTTTGCTCCCACCTTATCAACGCACCACTCCAAGAATGCTGTGAACCCCTGCTCCGTATTATCCTCGTACGCCTGCCAATTCCGCCGAATAAAAGCCTTAAGCTCGGCAAAGAACTCCTCTATGGGGTTTAGGTCCGGTGAATAGGGCGGCAAATATACGAACTTGACACCCTTTTCGCAGCACAATTGCTCTATCTTACCAGAACGGTGAAAGGACGCATTATCCATCACAAGTACAGATTTGGGCTCGGGCCACTTCCCGCAATGCTGAAGTAGTTCTTCGATAAAATCCTCAAAGAATGATGCATCAGTTGAGCCTCGAAAAACTCTAGCAAGTATAGCACCGTCCTGTACGTAAGCAGGGAGTATTTGGTAGCGCTGATCCCGATGAAATCTTGACACCTGAACCGGTGTTGTACCACTCGGAGACCACCCGCTTCTTCGAAAGCCTGTTCTTTTGTCGCATCCAGACTCGTCCACATAAACCAAGTGGAACGACTGGAATTCCGAAATCAGATGCATATAATCATCACGTAAATCGGCATTTAGTTCTCTCGCTTGCTGCCGACATTCCTTTCTAGACCAACCGGACTGGCGGAGAGTATCACTGATAGTAGACTTCGGCACACGTATGTCAGATTCTTCCAGCAGAAAGAGTTCCATTTCGTGCAGGTACAGACCTGGCTTTTCTATTAGATGATCGCAAAGGGTTTCTAGCATTGGTGGAGTCAACTTCCGCGGGCGTCCGCCTTTTATCGGAGGGGCTTTGAGAGTGCCAAACAATCGAAGATTAGAGCGGAGTCGGAATATTGCGCGTTTACTGCAATTAGCGGTTCTAGCCATTTGTGATGTGGTTAATTCACCGCTGACCAGCATGTCGTGGATGAGGTCAAGCGTCGATTGAGCTAGATTGGGAGCCATTGCGTTGCTTGAATTGCAAGCAGTAACCAAGTGTTAGTACGGTGTTGGTAAAATGTGTTTGGCACGTGGAGTATGGGTTAGAGGCACGTGGAGCTTAGTCATTAATACAGTATTTCGTCATGGTATAGATAGCAATTTACCATACAGCTGCGGATTAAAGATTTTCCTCCTCATCCAAACATAGTTTAGTGCGGTTTCGGGTCAGGGTTGCTGAACCAATCAAAAAGAGTAAGTAGTGACACCGGTATCCGGACACACTGTACACACTGTACACACCCCTGTCATAATTTCTGCGCGGGATGGACAGGAGAGCCAAATACTGTATGATCTTTTGCGTTGCGTGATAATATAGTATATAACATTTGTTGATTGTATCAAAATTTAGAGCATAAAGTCAGTGTGGACGAGCGGTTAAGGCGTCAGACTCGAAGTCTTATACGTTCGCGTGCACAGTCCTGTCGCTGACGACAAATAGTTTTCCAACTTTGTTATCTCTCTTTTCTCAAACCTATCTGACCCGCTTATCAATCATTTGTTTCTTTTATATTTCTCTCTTTCTATTTATGAATGCATCTCTGATGTTGATCCTTTCAATTACTTCTCAAGCTTGATTTGAAATGATAGTAAAGATGTTACACGAAACCAGTGTGATGCCGAGCGGCGTGCAAAATCATGTGGCATAGTTCTGATTGCTTTGATTGTCTCGCTTGGTATGCTCGCTTATCCGTGGTCTCCCATGTTCTCCCCTACACTTCTTCCTTTCTCCCCTCATGTTAGATACTCTTGTCTGGTAACGCGAATTACGATTAATTTTGCTTGGTTATTACAGATTCATATACTATCAGATGGATAATGTAGAGAGTAGAGGTTGAAGAATGGGACATAGTACCAGGGAAGTATTACAATGTAAGGATATGAGAAGAGGGGAAGATAAGCTTGACCCTACACCTCTGATGTCAGCAATTTTCCGACATTGTACCATTATTGCTGATCACCTATATACATAACAGCTCTGTACATCAGCCGCTTCTAGAGTAGGTACTCATTCACCACTTCTGTAGATGTCATCGCATCCTCCAACATCGGTGAATGACCCGCCTTCGGCACCAGCTTCACCTCACTATCGCCCTTTAGGTCTGCCGCCTGCTGCATCAGTCACTCTCGCCCGCCACAAACGGCTGACTAGATCATGTGACTAGTCACGTGGAAAGACATCAAGAGATCTTGAACTGGGCGGTGAGGCGACTGGCAGAATGTTAGACCATGCGGAGTTACACTCACGCCGAGCTGCAACCCGATCATCTAACAACATCAAACTCCAACTCGATCACCTTGACTTTCCTCACGGCTTGTGGCCGGATCTCTTCTCATACTATATTCCTCGCTGCCTAGCTCACGCCTTCAGTAGCTGAGAGCCATGGCGCCCCAGAAATCTGTGACAGAGGTGCCCCGTTCCCTTATTCCCCGTCTGACTTGGAACGGCTCCTCTGCCCGTACTACTATCACTTCTCCCCAGACTACTGCCCTACCAGCGAAGCGCCAACAAAAGCAACATATGGTACGGGGCTGGATTTCTGTCGGACGACAACTGCATACTTCGACTTCCCGGTCCGCTACTCGCTTAATAGTCCCCGCAACATCCCGAGATCTAGGCACATCATCGATCGCAAGACGGTTCCCTTCCACAACCAAGCCGACCAGTCAACCAGCCGCACCCCTCGGAAACCCCATCCGGCATAACGGTGTCTATGTCGCCGTATTCACTCCTGCTCGGAGAGCTTTCCATGCTTCCGCTTCGCGCCAGCGCGACCATCACTTTGATACGTTGAAATTCGTCCAGCGATTGAAAGACGAGGGGTTTAGCGAAGAGCAGGCTGTTGCCATGATGCGGGTTCTGAACGACGTCATTCAGGAATCCATCCAGAACTTGACCCGCACAATGGTGCTTCGGGAAGGTTAGTCGCTCCTGTGATATATGCGTTTCTGCGCCTGGGGTAGTCTTTCATATCCATGCATGTTATAACCCAAGAGCATTTACATTCTAAGTCCATCTCTACAGACACGGAACGATCAGCCTACACACAGAAAGTCGACTTTGCCAAACTCCGCTCCGAGCTCCTCAACGCAGATTCTACCGAAGCGCAATTGACTCGCTCGTCGCACGAAAAGATCGCCGCTGATCTCGCCAAACTCAACTCGCGTCTACGCGATGAGATCGGTCGCACGCAGGCATCGGTGCGTCTTGATCTGAATCTGGAGAAAGGTCGTATCCGGGAAGAAGCCAATGGCCAAGAAATGCGTATAAAGGAGACCGAAACGAGAATTGAGCAGGAAGTGGCTGGGCTGAGAGAGCGTGTAGAGGCTGTCAAGTTCTCCACGTTACAATGGCTCATGTAAGCGGCATCCGACACTCCATGGTATACAATGCTGACAGATCTTTCCTAGGGGCGTATGCACTGGTACCGCTGCTCTGATTCTTGGTGCTTGGCGTCTTTTCATGTGAACCCGTCATCCTGTGGGCTTTCCGGCCAACCCGGCCGGATTAACATGCCTTGTCTGTCGCCTTCAAGATGACACTTCCCATATATAAACTTCCCACTATGTCTCCTTACCGCCGAGAAATATGGCGGGGTAAGGAACAGGTGGCTGATCTTCTGTTTCCACTTGTATATTTAGCGATGCGGTGACTTCTGTAATCATTGTTTTTCTTTGTTCTCTTCCGAGGTGTAGTAGATACATTGTGGAATGGGACTCCTACCTAGCCGATGGCCGGCGGCAGTGATGTAGGCATGGATGAATGAACCAAGCCGCGAAGTGATATGATGCGGTTTCGCAACATGTATTATTTTACTACTACTACTACTACTACTACTACTACTACTACTACTACTACTACTACTACTACTACTACTACTACTACTACTACTACTACTAGCTGGCTGTCTGCATTGGACCGGCTGCTCGCCTAAACAATTCCTGCCGAAGAAGGGTGGGGATATTACGAACCATGCGATTCCAATGATAAGGGAAATGAAGGGGCCGGGGGGAAGAGCAATTCGGTGTCATACAAGCCATGAAATACTCAGGGGCCGGCGGGGTCCGTCGGGGTTAAAAAGAGGGGGGAAACACGCTCATTTACAATCGGGCAATGATTGGCCTGGCATACTCTTCGTTCCTGTATTCACCAGGTTTTCTTGGTCCACTCTTCGGTAATCAACTCCTCGCGTCTGCGCCGCTCCAATGGCCTTCCATGTCTTTCTGCAGCTTATCATCGGCTCACAGCAAGAACAAGGGGCAATTGCATCCTACATTCCCTGCCATCTAGATAGCCGACGATAATGCTTGATTCAATTAGCACAGGATTTCTTCAAGTGTGACTGGCGATACATCACCCCATAGCACTATGCTTGGTTACAGGTATGATACCATCAATATCGTCAGAACTACCATCGTTTGACCCATGACTATCAGGCCTAGTTGCACACCGTTAATAGGAAGCACGCTAAACAAATCTATGCATGCAGAGCACGGTCAATACGGACACTTATCACTCTAGAAAACACAGCTAGTTACATAATGTATTATACGCCATGGACTCGTACAAATACCCTTCCCGACCCCCTGGGGTGTCAACCATGGGCGTTGTACTGCACTCATTCATAGGCGTCCGTACTATATCTGGCTACCCTACTAGCACTTCGTGCATCTCTCTTGTGCATTGGGGCTTTCTCAAGGGCTTACAGTACATACTTGCGTCGCCCACGTGAAGTTTCCGACAGTCGCAACATCAACTGAGTATTGTATCACTTCTTCCCCCTAAACTCGGAGGGAATTCGTTCCAGAAACGCAGACGAGCAGGAGGAATCGATCGGAGTAGGCATAACCTGCAGGAATAGCCGCAATCATGCTGGTCTCTTTCAGTGTCCCATTCTACCTGGTGTCTCTACTATTTTCCCCAGTGCGGGCTGTTCTAGAGGTCTTCGAGGTATACCAGCCCGTCCCGACAGGCCATGGGAGCGTTGGTTGCAATGAGGCAATCCTCCTGATGGACCATGTCTTCGGCTATAGCTATGGGGAACCATACGTCGGTAGGAGAGAAACAGTGCTGGGCAGATGATCCGATGAGTTCATAAGCTAAATATGAACCAGGGATCTACGAGCCACCGAATTGTACCTTTGACACCGTTCGCCTCAATCTCACTGTCACTTCCAAGGGCACACAGTATGATCGCCTGGCGCTTATGTACTTAGGGGACACAGAGGTGTTCCGAACATCAACTGCTGAACCAACGACCAACGGAATCATCTGGACCTATATCAAAGACATGTCTCAGTTCAACGTACTGTGGAAAGAAAAACAGAAATTGATCTTTGATCTTGGAAACATCATTACTGATGTCTACACCGGATCTTTCAATACCACTCTAACGGCGTATTTCTCGTATGAGGGCAATGTCAGAACCCCTGATATTATTCTTCCAATATCTGCGCGCAAATCCGCACAAAATGCATCAAGTGACTTTGAGCTTCCATCTGACAATGCCACGGTGCTCTATCAAATCCCTCCGACAGCATCCCGTGCAGTTGTGTCTATTTCTGCATGTGGCCAGTCAGAGGAAGAATTCTGGTGGTCCAACGTTCTCTCTGCCGATGAGTGGACCTTCGACAATACCATTGGTGAGCTGTACGGGTACTCCCCATTCCGTGAAGTCCAGCTTTATATCGACGGCGTCCTTGCTGGCGTGGACTGGCCGTTTCCCATAATCTTCACCGGCGGTGTCGCTCCAGGGTTCTGGCGTCCTATTGTGGGAATTGATGCTTTTGACCTACGCCAACCTGAGATCGATATCACACCCTTCCTTCCCTTGCTCAAGGATAACAAGTCGCATTCTTTCGAGATCAGAGTTACAGGCTTGAGTGTCGCAGATGACGGAACAGTGACTTTCGCCGACACAGTTGGCTCCTACTGGGTGGTCACCGGCACTATATTCCTTTACTTGGACGACTCCATGTCTCAAATCGCAACCGGCCAGGCGCCCGAGGTGAACGCCCCGACGCCAACATTCGCCGTTACGCGGAATCTTGTCCAGAGTCGGAACGGGACAAACGAAACATTGGCATACTCTGTCGTGGCGGAAAGAACATTGACAGTGAAGTCTTCTGAATATTCATGGAGTCAAAACCTCTCATACTCGAACTACGGATATCTGAACCAGCAAGGATTGAGCCAGAAAAACAATCAACAGACCTTCGGCTCTAACACGATCGCTCAGCTTACTGGAAACAGAACTACGAACGAGGTCACGTTCGAGTATCCGCTGATTTGTAACACGACGTATGGACTCGAAGATGGACTTTCCATTAGTGCCTGGATCCGCAGAGGCCTAGATATCGAGTCGACCGGTGGGCTCGGGGTCTCGACTTATACTTTTACCTCCGGGTCTTTGGATCTGCATACAGAACAACATGGAACAGCGTATTATTATGAACCCTCTGACGATGAGAGTTCGGTCTCGTATGGTGAAACGTTCGATGTCTTTGGAAGCAATGCCGGTGGAGTTCAATACTTTCGGAACGTCCATGCGGTAAATGGTACTGTTGTATCGTATACTGACAGCTAGAAGGCATACAGTGCTCAATATCATTCAAGCATGTATGAGACCGAAGTATGATTAGGATAGATGGGGTTGGAAATATACGACTGAATTTTTGTCATCCTGAAGATTGCATCTTCTTGTATAGAGTTAGATTGGTGGCCGACTGGGGCGGGAACCACGTTAGTATGAATGCAATAATCATGATTGCACCATACATAGGATTATCATTGACTGGGGGCGATTTATACGCTCAGAACCAGTCCACGTGCGGACCCGACCGTAAGGCGCTGGGGGCCATTTAGAAAAGCCCTTGGGATCTTCGCCCTGGCAATGGTAAAACAACCGTGCCTCTAAGAGGGTATACTGGTTCCCGGAAGCTAGTCAGCAAGGCCGTCTGAGACAGACCAACAGACCAATACTGACTGACCGATAGGCTCGGAGGAGTGCAACGAAAGGAGTATAGCCTCCCAAACCCCATAGAATCCCCTCTGTCGAAGAAGGCTCGCTATTAGTCCCTTACCTATTCGTGCGGATGAATAGCATAGACTGAATTTTGCACCACTTCTGGCACTTACGACCTGATGGGGGCGGATGGAGCTCACGCTGCCTAAGCAGTCGACACCGGCCAGCCTTCGCTCACGCCACACCCTGCCGCCTACCTTCGTAGGTAAGTCTTGTTTTTGGTACAGGCAGAAGCCCTACCGCCTACCGTGTCAATTGTTACAGCCTGAGGCAGTAACTTTACACCTCAGGCAGGGTGTTAAAAAGGCGGTAGCGCCTCATGTACTATAGTATCCTCCCTCACGCGGCGTTGACTCATGGAGGATAACTAGCATCCGTTTCAGGAAATGAAACCCCCATGAATGTATACATATCTTCTGAACGTTTGGCTCTTTTCAAACTTCAGCTGGATTGTAGCCTCTAAATGTTGGCTGTTCTGGCTCCACGATGAGGTAGTTACTGAGCTCTATTGGGGAGATGGACTGGAAGGAAATTATTACAGTAGTTTGCAAAACCACCATGCCTACCCCTTGACGCTCACCTTCTTTCCCAATCCCTAGCCTTCCTGCGCTAGTCCTAATACCTTTAATTTGTAACTAGAATCCTTGGCACCATTGGTTCCGTTTTGTAAGTATAATCACCATACTTCATTGTTGTTACGGTACGTGTAAACTTATTACAGAAACCTAGAAGCTTCCATGGCCGGAACAACGCTTAAGTATCCGCATTAGTACCATTATTTTTCGGTTCTTCCCTGAAGCCTCCTCAGAGTTCCTATACCGTGGTGCAGAGAATATTAGAACAATGTCTCCCCACCTATCGCCAGCACAGATTTAGCTTATCTGTGATATGCAGTCAGTCGCGGCATGTCAATCTCGAAAGCCAGTGAAGCTGCCGAGCGCAGGAAGTAGGCGGTCATAAAACTCCCAAACATAAGTTAGGCCTGTGAGATTAATGACAGCAACCATGCTGAAGACTCTAGGCGAATAGCTCCTGCAGATCGTTGTACCTAGGCGGAATGGCAGTTTCTACGGGACGTGTTTGGCCTCCATGTAGCAACTAGCAGGGTAAGCCGGGCGTTTTCCTCGACTGGTGGGTTCAAAGAGACAGTTCAACAAGAGAAGAATCGCGAATGAGCCTTATGACCCAGGCCTCTTCTGCACGGGAATTATAAGAGACGGCGAACTGAAAAAGAAATGATTTGATTATACCATGCTCTTATTATTATATAGGAGAGACCCTAACCGTTGATATACCCCAGAGCAAGTGAGATCTTCATGACAGCATGACAAGCAGAAATGAGATGCAGTACTAACTCAAAATACCTCTGATAATCTGTCTTTTGTCTAACTATCTGCTGAAGACCAGAAACTTTGTCTAAATCCCGCTCCGGTTGTTCAACTTCAGTAATAACAGTGTCTTCGTACTATCGGGCTGCTAATATCCAATGACAGGGAAAAGAGAGAAACGGCCGGGTCATAGAAGCTTCCCAGAAGTACTTCCTTTCGAGACATAGCCTGCTCGCACTCGCCCAACTCCCAGCCTTTCATACTCTTCCTCTCCCGATGTTTTTTGTACTGCAAGTATATAGTATTCCTTGTTAGAATCATCCTCATTGTCATATTGACTCATTGCGATGACGACACAGTTCCGAGGCTCAATCTCAGCCGCCGAATCCATGTCGAAATATAGGGAGCCGATTTCCCCGGTATCAGCGTAGATTATATACTCTCTATCCCTTCGTGACATATGGTGATACTCAAATTCTCGAACTTCGATGTTGATGCTGCGCATTGAGTCGTCGAAGTTTAGGCTTTGAAATTGTGGAACCAGGAGAGTTGAACGCGTCAAAAAGTCAACCTTCCCATTATAGAACATCCAAGACCATGACGGCACGCTTTTGTCCTTGTAATATATGGGAACCAAATGCTTGCCAGCCTGCTTCCACAAGAGGAGCCGAGGTAACATGCAATGAAAGACTCCGAAGCTGACTTCAGTAGACAAAGCTTCTGCAATACGCTTAGCTATGCTGGAAAAAGCAATGACCTTGTCTTTTTCTGGATAGGTAAGATCACGACAAGAGTAGTCAGTGATAAGCTCTTGGACAAATAATGCTGTCGATGTATAACCTGAATTTAAGAGGAGTTTAGGAAATTGTGGGTCAAGCAGATATCCTCTGGTAACAGGACTAGCATCATTAGTGTTAACCAAGTTTCATCCAATGTAAGGTGAACTTACCATGTTATTATGCCGAAATTCTCGCAACAAACGCCATAATAACACTCCCAGTACGTCTGTTGTGCAGTAAAATAGATGGTTCGGCGAGAAAGCGCTCTTTCTTGCAACGCCCAGGCTCTTGTATGCAGTTGACCTTTATCAACAAGCTCACGGAAGTCATTAATATTCTTTTCATTAGAACTGGCTCCCTCTGATAGACTGCATTGCTGACTGCGATGAAGGAAGCCTTCACACCAACTTGATGCTGAACTTGACGCAATAGTGCAGTATGCAGAGGAATATACTTCTTCCATTCTCACACCTTCCTTCTTCCAATCGTTGTCATCTCCTTGAATGATGCAAAGAGCATCAATCCAAAGATACTGCTTGTTAAGTTCTCGGGTTACTGTGATAGCGTCTTGGAAGACTTTTGGAAGGCTGTAATAGCCGAACCCCCTCAATCGTTCATTGTAATTCTTAGGCGTGGTACAGAATCGTTCCTTCTCCTCATTGGTCGGTGTGCCCCAGCAGTGCGATAACGATATATAATCAAACGGGTGTTCTATATCTGCTGACAGTTTGAGTTGCAGCTGATTTGAATGCTCTGTTCCCACAAATATAACTCGTTTTGGCCAGACCTGACGTTCACCGTCAAGGCATGCATGCTTCTTGTCACACACCTTAAGCCACTGACGAAGCAAATCAAAGCGATTTATAATCCGCAAAGGATGGGTATATCCTGATTCTTTGTATTCTTTTTGCAGGTCTGTCCATAAATTTTAAATTAATAAGAGAGGAAGGGGCCAAAGAAAAGGGCCTGTTTACCTGAGTAGCTTGGGATATGCAAAGTGGAAGACTGGCGTCGGTCTATACTGATATATGCATCATCTATGGCTCGGTGGACCAAGTAATGGCTAATATTTTCAGAATCTTTTTCAGAACGATCATACTGCTTGCATAAAGTCAGAATATCTCGGTTTTGAAGTATGAAATATACACATACTCTGAAAGTGGTTTTTAGATGGCGGAGCAGCGTGCATCTCCCGAGGACGGATTCATTGTTACAACCAGCAATGAGCTCCGTGATTTCAGAAGCAGTTCCAGTTTCGAACGACCATCGATTCTGATATGATAATAAACAACACAGAAAGGGATAGAGGACAGCCATAGCAGCCATTATCTTTTTGAAGACAGGCCCTACTTACCCACTAGACCAATATTATTTCTGTCAGCTATTACTGCATCTGATATACTCTTCCGTGGAAGGCTGACTTACTATCTATACCAATATCATCTCTGTCAGCTATTACTGCATCTGATATGCTCTTCCGTGGAAGGCTGACTTACTATCTATACCAATATCATCTCTGTCAGCTATTACTGCATCTGATGTACTCTTCTGTAGAAGACTGACTTACTCTCTATACCAATATCATATTCCTGTCAGTTATTACCGCATCTCATGTACTCTTCTGTAGAAGGCTGACTTACTATCTATACCAATATTATCTCTGTCAGCTATTACCGCATCTGATATATTCTTCCGTGGAAGGCTGACTCACTGTCTACATTAATATTATATTCCTGTCAGCCATTACCGCATCTCATGTACTCTTCTGTGGAAGACTGACTTACTGTCTATACCAATATTATATTCCTGTCAGCCATTACCGCATCTGATATACTCTTCCGTAGAAGACTGACTTACATCCTATATTAATATCATATTCCTGTCAGCCATTACCGCATCTGATATACTCTTCCGTAGAAGACTGACTTACCCACTATACCAATATTATCTCTATCAGCCATTACTGCATCTAATGTACTCTTCCGTGAAAGACTGACTTACTCTCTATACCAATATCATCTCTCAGTCATTACCGTATCCAATGTATTCTTCAGTGGAAGGCTGACTTACCATCTATACCAATATCATATTCCTGTCAACTATTACCGCATCTAATGTACTCTTCTGTAGAAGGCTGACTTACGTTCTATATTATATCCCTGTCAGTTATTACCGCATCTAATATACTCTTATATGGGTTTGACTTACCTCCTGAAGCAAACGCAGAGCTTTATTATTCATCAGCCTATCCTACTCCTTGACAAACTACTTACTTTCTTAACCTTCATTAGATGTCGTGCGCTTTTTTGTCTGTTCAGACTAGATACTTACCATAAACGCTCCATGTATCCAACCTGCATAAGCCGATCCAGAAGTCATTGTGAGCCAGAATGTTAACAAGAAAGCCAATAGCAGCAAGCAGTTCTCGTACTCTCCACTGGGTTGTTGGGGATGGGAGAAGAAGTTTCTTCCAGTGCAAGTTGATGGTCGTTCTGATGCAAGGCCAGCTGGCTAGGCCAGAATGACTAATGCGGGGTCACAGCGGCAAGAAGGAACTTATTATTGGTTAAATGAGGGCTCAATTGAGATATGTCACATCTACCCCAAAACCATTGTTTCTGCATGTCCTCCTTAATGGCAGTGACTCTTATTTCAATCACCTAACAGCATAACGTAACAAACTGCCTTTACCAAGTCACTTCATCTTTTGTCCTTACTGTGTATGTTCTTCCGGAGCGGAACCATGGGCGGGTCACGGAACCATTCGACATGACCTTCGGGCCGAGCTAATAGAGCCAATGCTGCCACCACGTCTCGCCGATTTCGTCATTTTTCCTGCGCCGCTCCCTCAAAGTACTCAAGACTTAGTATATCACAGCCAGATGTTCTGAGTGAAGGCCAGAGCAGTGTCGGAGGGTTGCGCACTTACTACAAATAGTATCTTCAGCCTTTTGAAAAAGATGACTTAGTCCTGTAAAGGACTGCATGTCAAAAGTGACAACGGCTTCGACCAACTTACAATTAGTGTCATTCGCTGTCAGCCTTACGACTAATGCGTGCTCTCGTGTCAGGAAAGGCTTCAGCTGGCAGGCCAGGTAGGATTATTGCGATCAACACCAGTTTCGCTACCTCAGCCTGTTCTGTCGAGTCCGCAGCCCTTGGGTTCCTGGTTCGGACAATTCTGCAGCGCTAGATTTAGGCAGGGGAGAGTGAAGACTTTCAGATATTGACAAATTGCCCCATCTCAGTGGCATGTGCCCGAGTCACCCAAGACCGAAGCATCTAGAATTCTGTATGGGCTTTACGCCTCCCGTAATATTGGGTGTAATTTTGGCAAATTACAAGACAAATCGGTACCTGCCAAGAATCTTAATTCCCAGGCTAACTATATACAGACTAATACAGGTGTTAGGTTTTGGGAAAGGATTCGGGAAGAGTCTGGGGTAGGCAAGGTGGTTGTGCATAATACTGTGACAGCAATATGGATGATATTGCGTATGTGTGCTAGCTAGCTAACTACGCGAGGAGGTGACTAGGTGGCTAGGTCCGAGATCACGTGATCTCCTTTCACAAATACTATATTTGGTCACCGGTAGCGGTGGCGTAGTTGTAAGCGCTTCAAGGCAACTTCCAAAAATGCGGGATTGGGTCACTTGCTTTTTGGAGGTGGTGGGTAATTCCCATCGCCGGCACCACAATTACCACAACAATGGAATTAATTCCTATAATAGTACCCAAACCTTCCCCTTATGGCAAGGTGGCGAGGAAGAGAACAATCACAGGCCTCGGCGAGGCTCCAGATTCGTCAGGAAAGAAGTAGTTTACAGCGAAGACACGTATTTAGAGATAGCTATATATTGGATACCTGCAAATCGCTCCGACGAGGGGTCAGCGTATGAATAAACAACAACAACTACTACTACTACTACTACTACT